CCCTTCCCCTTGTCTCTCATCCCCACCCCCTCCCAACTAGCAACCATCAGTTGTTCCTCTATATCTCTGAGACTATTTCTGTTTACTTTGCTCATTCATTCAGTTTTTTAGATTCCACATATAAGTGCAATTATTATATGGTACTTGTCTTTCTCTGACTGACTTATTTCACTTAACATAATAGTCTCTAGGTCTACCCATATCGTTGCAAATGATATGCTTTCATAGATATTTTTTAAGTCTGGTGGTCAGAAGAGGGCTTCACGGTGTAGGTGCAGTGAGATGCACTGATTAGAACAGGCTTCACCTGTGAGCACGGCCTTGTGGGGACGTAACTGGTGAGGCCAGGGTTGTCCAGAAAGAAAAGCGCCAGACTCAAGGTTGAGCAGCTCAACTTGTCTGACCTCCCCCCTGAGGCCCAGGAAGAAATGGAGACCCTGAGAAGGACTTGCCTTGCCTTGGATTTCACATGGAATTAGTGAAGCAGGTTAGTGAAGGGAAGGAATATGATATGGAAACTTCTGTTTCAAAAAAACGATTCACCTTAAGAAACCGCTCCTAGGGAATCCTGGGAATGCACACAAACATTTACGATCTCTGAAATACGGAAACAATGTACATATCTAGTCATGGGGAGTTGGTTGAATAAACTGTGATGGATCCACAAGATGAGGTGTCATCCTGCCATTACAAGTGATGTTTATGAGAAAATGGTGGTAAAGTAAATGGCAGCATATTGAACATGCTTCTGTCCTCTCATATTCCTGACAGTGTCATGAAGGGGTGAAATTGGGGGTGATGTTAGAATGACTGGAGACAGCGCACTGGCAAGGCCAGGTGGGGACCTCAGTTCCTGCCAGCGACGTGGCTGGAAGTGAGGGAGCCTCAGAGAGAGGATGGGATGGACGGGTGGACTGGGCGTCAAGCAGGAGACCTCCAGCGAGCTTCTTCCCTTCCTTGTAGGACAAAGAGGAACTGGATGAAAGGATTTCTTATTTCAAAACCTACCTGGAGACCAAAGGGGCAGCGTTGAGCCAGACCACGGAGTTTCTCCCTTTCTATGCTCTGCCTTTTGTTCCCAACCCTATGGTACATCCGTCATTTAAAGAACTCTTCCAGGTAAGTGACAGCAGTCTCGGAGTCCTGGGTCATATCCCTGGCAACATTGTGCTTTCACCTTGTTTACGCTGGTTGTTTCTGAATGATGCTGGAAAAAACTAAAACTTGCTTTTGTTATATTTTAAGAATATGCAGGTAATTGCCTTTAACGAATTTTTCTTATGTCATAAAATATGATTTGTTTTGGTTGCACCAAGACGTAACCCAGATCGACATAAATATTTTTAATGTACTAATCTCTTAGGTCATTCCATGTATACTTTTTTAGTATCGGAAGGATAATTTATTCAATTACACTGAAAATTAGTAGTCTGTAAAAGAACTCGAAAGTACTTTACATAATTGCTGGCCATATATATATATATAAAAGATTTTATTGGGGAATCTGGGAAGGGGAACAGACAAGTTGCTGTCCTTTTTGTTCTTCAGTCTAATTGAGGACATCTCTTCACTGGCCCATGTTGGTACTGTGATCATTGCGCTCTTCCCAGCTGAGGCAGATCAGTCGCCGGCCATTGGATGGCCGCTCATGGTGGCTCACTGCAGCTCATGCCAGCTGCCGGCCGCTCATGCTGCCTTCCAGCCACTCACGGTAGCTTACGGCAGCCCACTGCAGCCCCACTGCAGCCTATGCCATCGCTGGCGACTCACGGCAGCCCAACTCCAGCTTGAGCTGCTGTTCACCATCTTATCTGTAGAGGGCAGTATCACTGGCCCATGTGGGATCCGAACCAGCAGCCCTGCTGCTCAGAGCTCACACTCCCAAGCCAACTCTTAACCAACGAGCCACTCAGCCAGCCCGAGGGATGTATATTGTAATTTGTATTAAAATTCTCACTTACTTGGTGTATATTTGATTACCTGACTGTGCAGTGTTATTTGCATCAGACCATTTGCTTATAGCTCTTCTAATTGTTATACTTCATTTTAGTTAACATTTCAGCATAATATTTATTAATAAGATTTACCAAAAAAATTAGTATACTAATTTATGTTGACTTACTAAAATTAGTATGTCCCACTGAGACTTTTATTGAAATGTATTTAGAGACTGAAATATTTTGATGTAATTAGATTGCTTTTTCTAAAGATCCTGTCTAAATTTCCTTCTTATAAGGACATCAGTCATACTGGATTAAGCGCCCACCCTACCCCAAAACAACCTCATCTTAACTAATTACATCTGCAACGACCCCATTCCCAGTGACCTCACATTCTGAGGAGATTAGGACGTCAACGTGTCTTTTTAGGGGACACAGTTCAACCCATACCACATGTATTATAAATAAAGTTATCATGCAGTATCAGGGAATTGCAAAATCTTCTTTAAATATAAGACTTTTCTGCTTCTCTGGCAGGATTCTTTTGAAAGTCAGATAACGATAACGGGTAGACTGGGTTGGGTAGGGTGGGAGGCGTGGATGAGGAAGTAAACTGAAGAGAAAGTGGGGAAGGGTGGGCGGGTCTGTGGGAGATCGGGCGGGACCTCGGAGGTCAGTAGGCATGCATTTTTAGTGCTATGGCTTCTTTTTTGTGCAGCTTCTTGGTTGGGTGGTAGATATTTTTGCATGAAGACCGTGGGGAAAATTGCCCTGACAAAGGTTGTTACTTTTCACACTTTTTCTTTTATTAAGTCATTACTTTTTCCTTCTCAATGAGCACTATTTGAGGTAAATAATTTGTCTTTAAGTGATAAACTAAAAGTATATCATACTTCTTGACATGATGGAGTATTTGAGGCAATAACAGCTACTGCGTTTCTTTCTCATCTAGAGGAGGCGTATGGATGCAAGTCCCTTTTTTCGGGAGACTTAGTATCTTAGTGATCATTCTGTGTGCCTGCCAGTGCCATCTATGCCTAAACTAGACTGAATTATTTTTGGTACTCAACCTAATAAGGTTACGTTTCATGCTTGTGTTGAAAGCACATGAAATATTAGAATCATGTACAGGGTTATTTTTTCCCTGTTTGTGAAGGAACTCTGTTCTTTCTTCCTACTGTGGGCACTTGAACCTTCTATAAATGAATTGGTCAGATGTCCTAAAACCTGTTTTTCACAGCATCACACCACTGGTAAGACACCTTGTTTTTGATTTCAGTAACTGTGATGGGGTAATTTAACCGTAAAGGCCACAACTTGACAATGCGGTTGGCATTTAGTCATCTAGTGCTTTCATTTATTTTGTCTTTTTTTTCTCTAGGATTCTTGGACTCCAGAATTAAAGTTGAAGTTGGAAAAGTTTCTGGCTTTAATTTTTAAAGCCAGTAACACGCCCAAGCTTTTAACGTTGTATGTATCCTTTTGAAGCAGATGGAGACCACCTATGGTGTTAGAGTAGTGCACTGGCTTAGACTGCCTCATAAATAGGGATAATTGATAGTGCTGCTTTCATATTTATGAGGTAAGTGAAGCTTTAATGGGAGGATGTGCCAGGGCCCATAAAGGGTTGACTTCTATGGCATTGTGTCTCTGACACTCACTAGGCTCTTATTTTTATGTCATGTGCTTAGAAGCTGTCTTGATAGGAAAAAAGGTCTGTGTTTTTAGGAAAGAACTCCTTGGAGTAACTGTCCCTTTGTAGAAGATCAGTCAACCACTTTTAAGGCCTTGAGGCCCTCTGGATCAAATGACCATATAACTCGTCATTCAAATTGGGACTTTTTAAAAAATAACTTTGTTGAGGTATAATTAACACACCATAAGATTCACCCATTTTAATTTTACGATTTAGTGATTTTTAACAAAAGTGTAGAGCTGTGCAACCATCATCACAATCCAATTCAAATCATAACACTTTTGAGAGCAAAAAGGGGGTACTCACTGGACAGAGTGCCAGGCAGCAGGTATAAATGGAGCCTGCCCAGGGAAGAGTGGGATGGGTGGTCACCCACCCCTAGGGAGTTGAATTTCTAAAGCTTGTCAGTCTTTAAGGATGCTTGTCTCCTTTTATTCTGAACAAGGATGTATCAAAAGTTATTTCATAACAAGAATATAACATTTTGAATTGTAAAGTTGGTGTTTGTTTTAATTTAATGAAAAATCGAGGACACTTCACTGCATAATACCTACTTCCTTTCTATTGGGTTGTTGGAAAAGTCATGATGCATGTTTGCAACAGATGGTGCTAGTTCATTTTTGGAAGTACTAGAGTCATTCGCATCTATGTTATTCCTATGTCATTTGACAGCTGACAGTTCTAGCTTCATTATAAAAAAAAATTGAGCGATTTGGTTGAGTTTTGGAGATTTTACAACAAATTGAAGATGGAAGACCAAACTGTGCATTTTTGCCGTATTACTTCCATAAAGGGAAGAATGCACGTCAAGCTTATGCAAAGTTGCATAAAGTTTACGGTGACAATGTTCTACAAGAACATCAGTGCCAACGATGGTTCACGAAATTCTGTGCTAATGATTTTGATCTCAATGACGCTCCTAGGTCAGGGAGGTTCACCGGGGTTGACGATAACAAAATAAAGGTATTGATCGAGTCAAACCCACATTACACGACACAAGATATTGCAGAAACATTGAACATCCGTCATTCAAGCATTCACGACCACCTGAAGAATCTGGGATACGTAAGCAAGCTCGATATTTGGGTTCTGCATGAACTCAAAGAAGTTCATTTGACGGCGCGTATAAACATCTGCAATATGCTCATTAAACGTGAGGAAAATGATCCTTTTTTGAAGTGACTGATAACTGGTGATGAGAAGTGGATTGTTTACAACAATGTGGTGCACAAACAGTCTTGGTCCCGACGTGATGATTCGCCTCAAATGACATGGAAAGCAGACATTCATCAGAGGAAGGTTATGCTCTCAGTGTGGTGGGATTTTAAAGGTGGTGTGTTTTTCAAGCTCCTACCAAGGAACCAAACAATCAATTCTAATGTGTCCTGTCGGCAATTGGACAGTTTGAACAAATCCATCATCCAGAAACGTCCAGAGCTTGTTAATTGTAAAGTAGCTGTGTTCCATCGCAACAACGCGAGACCACACACAAGTTTGATCACCCATCAAAACTTATTGGAGCTTGGATGGGATGTGTTGCCACACCCACCATACTTACCTGACCTTGTGCCATCAGACTTCCACTTGTTTTGCTGTCTTCAAAACTCCTTGTGTGGTATAATGTTCAATTCAGATGAGACTGTAAATCAGCACCTTGTTCAGTTTTCGCAAATAAAGACAGGTCCTTCTATGAACGAGGAGTTATGAAGCTCACTGAAAGATGGCAAAAGGTTATCGAACAGAATATATCATTGATTGATCTTTGTTCTTTATATAAATAAATGACCTTTGAAAAACATATACAAAATACGTCATGATTTTTCCGACGACCCAATAACTCCAAAGCCCAATGAACTCTTGTCCCTGGGATTCTGTGACACATTTCTTCTTCAGCTTCCTCAGCCTTCAGTGGGTCTCCGCTGCCCATGTCCAGCTCCTCAACCTTGAGACTATTCACAGACAGGCTGAACTATAGCTCTTCTCTCTGCTTTTAAACCCTTATGGTTCTGTTCAAATACTTCCCCCTACCCACATACCATGATGCTTGCATATCCAATCCTTTTCCCTTAGCGTTCTATATAAAATGACAGTTTTTCAGTGAAATTAGGATTGTTCCAACCTGGCTTATGATTATTTTAATACTCTTTTTAAAGAGCATTTTTCAGCTTAAACTACATGGTGCCAATATGTTAAGATTCTAAAAGAAATTACTTACATACTAAATCATATTAGTTATATTCGTAATAGCACCTGCTTCATAGAAATAATAGAGGATTGAGTCAATACGTGAAACTTGCTTAAAACTGTCCGGCACATAGTAAGTGCTTGATCGCTGTTAGCTGTTAGTATTATGGTTTGCACATACTTGGCACCTTTCATCCTATTCAACATGCTTTGAAGTCAATACACTGAAACATAGCAGGTAACTATAAACATGATTCCCTTTCTTGTCTTGTTCTGTGGAAATATTTGCAGTTCAGTTCCACATAGATATTAAGTTGAATATTGTGCCAGGAATTAAGGATCCAGAGAAAAGGTCAAGACATAGTTCTCTTAGCCAAGAAGGAGTTTTGAACAATAAAAGGAGAGTCTGTGAGGCAGACAGAATGAGGGGTAGGACTTCGAGGCAGAGGGAGCAGCTCATGCAGAAGCACCGAGCCAGTATGTGTGGGAAACCAGAAAGAATTCAGTATTGCTGGACCAGAAGTACTGAGACAGAGAAAGTCGGAGACTCGGCAGGGGCTGGGTCACGGAGGTGTGTGAGCGGTCCTGTAGGTAAACGCGGGCCTTTGAAATGTTTTAAGCAGGAGAATAAATGTTTTAAGCAGGGTCATGTTTACAGCTTTAAAACAAAATCACTTTTTTTATTCCAGATTATAAAATTGGTCATATTCCTTGTAGAAACTTTGGAAAGCCCAGAAGTGAATTTGTTTATGTGCATACACCCCAAAGTATGTAATGCTTACAATAAACTAGGATAGTTATCGCTATATGTATTTTTTAATATTTTTATCAAATGAAGAGAGCATTCCCCCAAATATTCTTCGAAAATGGGTTGTTTCCTCAAAAATTAAGCAGAGTGACCTATGATTCAGTGGTTTCACTCCTAGCTATGTACCCAAGAGACGTGAAAACATGTCTACACAGCAAATTGTGCATGAATGTTCATAACAGCACCGTGTGTAATAGCCAGAACATGCAAACTACCCAAATATCCATCCACTGATGAACAGATAACAAAATGTCCTACACTGGACTATTAGTTGGCAATAGAAAAGTGAATGGATTATTGATACGTGCTACAACATGTATGAACCTTGAAAACGTGCTAAGTGGAAGAAGCCAGACACAAAAGGCTGCATATTGTATGATTCCATTTGTATGAAATGTTCAGAAGAGGCCAGTCTGTAGAGACAGTAGATTAGTGGTTGCCTTGGGCTGGGGAGGGTGGGGAAAATGGGGATGACTGCTCATTAGTACAGGGTTTCTTTTTGGGGGTGATGAAAATGTTCTACAATTGATTGTAGTGATGGTTGCACAACTCTGATTATGCTAAAAATCGCTGAAATGTACACTTTAAATGGGTGATTTCTATAATATGTGAATTTACACCTCAGTAAAGCTGTTACCAAAAAATTAAGAAACCCACACAAAACAGGTAAAATACCTTGCCCTCAGACATGTGGCCAGATGTGTGGGAGCTGATGTTGAAACCCAGGCAGCCTGACTCCAGAGCCTGTGATTGCAGCTACTGTGCTCTGCTGTTTCCACCCCACCTCAGTCTCCTTAGGATAAAGCTGTAGCATTGAAATTAGAATTAAAGGGTATGAAAGCAGATTTGCGGTTTTCCTAGGACGTTCTGGTAGCAGTGAGGAAGGTCTTCTGAGCTGGGTAAGGAGGCCAGCCTAGGGGATGTTGAAATAGTACAAGAGTTGGTTGCACACAGAAGTAATGGAGATGGAGAGATTTATTTCAAAGTGAGTCGTCCAAGTATTGAGATATCGGTAACCATCTTAGCTATTTACGAGTATAGCAGCATTAAGAAGTGGCGACCGCCGTCCTGAGAATTCCCATTTTCACCATGCTGAGTGAGGCTCTTTCTCAAACTGGCCACACAGTGTGAGATACATGGATGCCTATTTTTCCTGAACTTCTTTCTCATGCCAGAAAGAGAATGGACAAAATCACAAAGGTAAGTCACCTAGATTAAAATTTTTGTAATAACAACTTTGCCAACTCAAGTGTTAAGTAATGCGATAGAGAGAATTCCATAGACTTGGAAAATGAGGGCTTTAAAAGTCTAAATAGTTATGAAATGCTTTGCAAACTTTTTTTTTTTTAAGGTTTTATTGGGGAATTGGGGGAGGGGAACAGACAAGTTGCTCTCCTTTTGTTCTTCAGTCTAGTTGTGGAGGACGTTGCTTCACTGGCCCAAGTTGGCACCATCATTGTGCTCTTCCCAGGTGAGGCAGATCTGAACGGCTGCTCATGGCGGCTGCCAGCCACTCACGGTAGCTTACGGCAGCCCACTGCAGCCCCACTACAGCCTACGCCGTTGCCGACGACTCACGGCAGCCCAGCTCCAGGTTGAGCTGTTGTTCACCATCTTAGCTGTAGAGGGCGCAGGGTCACTGGCCCTGATGTCGGATCCGAACTGCTCGGAGCTGGCATCACAAGCCAACTCTTAACCAACATGCCACTTGGCCGGCCCTGCAAACATTTTTATCTGTGATTCCTTGAGGCCTACTTTTCAGGAAGGCTGGTATTTTTAGCTTTGTCTGCATAACAGATACCTGAGATGTGGAGAAATGAAGAGAATCTAAGCACTGTGCCGATGTATCTGTGCAGCATGGTTAGAAGACACAGCATAGCATGGATGGGGAAAAAACTATTTTAGTGTCCTTCACTTTCACCTTGAACTAGTCTAATGGTGTCTTATCTCAGTAGCAATATGGAGTACCCATTCTGATCAAGCTTTTCCATTTTTTACGTTCAGTCTTAGGAATTCCAGTCATAATTTTTTAGCATAAAATGATGGTTTTTCCATGATCAGTGATTTTTACCAGAACTGTTTATTATTCAGGAAGGTGAGAAAAACTTTAGTTAGCGTGAAATCAGTGGCCAGGGTTGGGTTCTCTGCCTGAGTTTTGTCTTTGGCATTGCATTTTGGAGACTGCTTAAATTATGCTGGAGAGACTATGTGATGTGTGTCCTGCCATGGGGAAGTGGTGATGGCATCACCCTCGGTTCCCAGCAGGTGGAGTTTTACTACATGAAGTAGCACATTTGCCCTCTTCACAGCAGAGTAATGTTAGCAAGGATTTCAAAACTTCCTGCCACTGTTAGTCCATGTTGTCCATGTTTCTTGATAGAGAATTAAAGTTTTCTAAGGAAAGGGGGCATTTGTAAATGATTTAGCTCTTTGCTTTCCTGGAAGTTGACAAGTGAGTGGTGCTTTAGATTTGACACACGGAGGGCTTTGGTAGATTCCGGGGACAGGAGGTTGTGGGTTTGTTTTTGTCTTTTGTAGCCTTGCGTATCCCAGCCCAACAGTTCTGAATTCTGGTTCTGCCAGCTGTGCCGCCCCTCCCGGAGCTCTGAGGGGACGGTCCCCACGGACCCTTCATGGAGGAGCAGTGGTCCTGTGCCTGAGCATGGAGGCGCAGAGGTACAGATGTGGCCTCACGGGGTCGACATGGAGTCCTCCGTGGGTCACCAGGCTGCAGCCTTGGAGCTCCCTGAGGTTGCTGTGTCCCCAGCACTGTTATGGCGGAGGATAAGTCCCAGGGGGTCTCTTCAGCTCCTCAGGCCTGCTCCCTGCAGTGTTAGTCCAATTCCTGGGCCCTGGCTCAGGTGGTCCTATGCCAGCTTTCTCACATACAGCGCAGTTGGAATTCGTAAGTTGGGCTGGGCACTTGTGCTTGTGTCTTGCCATATAACTCCCGGAAATGCATCTTTGCACCACTATTTCTGTTTCTGTTGCTGTCTAACAAACTACCTCAGGCTCAGTGGCATAAAAAAACAGCGTCCACTTATTTTTATCATCTTGCATGGCCTGGGAATTGTGAGCTCAGTTAGGCAGTTCTCCTTTGGGGTGACATGTAGAAGCAGACAGAACTGGGTGGAGCCACCTCCAAAGCTTCCTCACCCATGTGCACAAGTCTGGTGGTTCCTGCTGGCTGTCGGCTGGGTTCTCAGCAAAGGCCCTTGACGAGAACACCTGCGTGGACTCTCCGTGTGGCCTGGTCTTCCTCAGGGCATGGTGGCTGCGTTCCAAGGGTGAATGTCCCAGAGAGAGCCGTTGGAAGCTGTGTCACCTTTTCTGACCCAGCCTGTGAAATAACTCAGCATCATTTCTGCTGCATTCTCTTCATTACAAGCTTGTTCCTAAGGCCAGCCCACATTCAGAGAAGGAGAATTATATTCCACCGCTTGATGGGAAGAAGTGTCAGAGACTTTGCTGTCCTATTTTAAAGCCACCGCCCTACCTGCGTCCTTTGGGTCCCAGAGAACTGCCTTAGTTCTGGTCTCAGTCTGCCAGTCCCTGTTCAGATTCAGTCTTTGGTCTCCCTGGCACTGGGGGAGGGAAGGTGGTGAGACACTTCTCCCCGAGTCCTGACTTTCTGCCAGCTCCTGTCACCCCAGCATACCCTGCAGTTTTGGAGGATAGCTTTCTGCCGGGAAAGCTTATGTCTCTGATAAGTGGTCTCTGATAATTTTGCAGACAAAATAAACATGGGAGAAGGAGTACAAAATAGAAGAGCCTGTTTTTCTACAGAGCTTTCATTTGAATTTCAGCAAGGAGACCGGGGTTTTCAAGCCTTAAGTTTGATTGTAATGGAGTTTTGTCTTAGGATAGCCAAACATAACTGAGTCTCGCGGGCACAATGTGTGTGTATGGCTGAATAAACCCCACAAAGCAGCATTGCCATGGAGATTAGAGATTAGCACCGCAGAGCGCTTGTACCAGGGGCCAGGGCCCAGGCCCAGTGTCACAACAGCCAGTTGTCATCACTTTGTCCCCTCCTCTCACAACTACAGCTGCAGTGACTGCAGGCACAGACATGCCACCAATTTAATTTGATTGTAGATGCAGGTGTTTTTTTTTTAACTGAATGGTTGGGTCATATTATTCTATATGTCTTGATAAGAAGGTTTGTGGATAAAGTGAGAGTTCTATAAATTTTTGGAGAAGGCAGGAAAAGTGCTTGGAGTGGGAGATTCTCTCAAAAGGAAGTACATTAAAAATGGTATTTAGAATAAAAACTTAGATTAGCAAATAGCAAATAAGATTATTATTTACACCTAGCCACCTATAAAAGAAACAAAAATAGTATCTTTTAGGATTTCTGGCATTAATTGATTTGGCCCCATCAGAAAATGAGCAGCTGATCATTTTTCTAGAGTTCAGAGGCCTAAATAGTATTTTTTTTTAATGATGACCTATATTTATGGTTATGTCATAAGTTTCTTTATTAGTATTTGTGAATTGGCAAAATAGCAGAGAGTTGATTTATATCTGAATATAAAGAAGAAAGAGTTATATCCTATTGTGAAGATAGAGTGGTTGATTTTAGGTTTTTATAATAGGTTAGGAAAACAATTCCATATTTTAAAATGTATCGTTTTGTCTTGAGCAGCCAAGGGGTCTCTAAAATTAAATCTCATCTACACTTTAAAAAAGAAAAAGCAATGTGCCTAAATGAAGAAGGGACGTTAACAAGAGGAAGCTTGACTGTAGGAAAAGTCTTCATCGCTTTTGTTACTGTTTCAGCAGGCACTAATTCCAGTGCCTGCTGGAATTACAGGAGAACTTTCTGTGACCCCCACTGGCCTACTTTTAGCAGTATACTCATATATCCCTTGTTTAAAACTTGGGACATAGTTCTTTGTACTTTTGTACAAATTACATCACTAGTTATGAAATATGAAGAATTTCAATAAATTTCACTGGCATGACTAAGCCATTTTCATTAAAATAACATGGAACAAACCCTCTCCATTAAAAGTTGAGATCTCACATGGCAAGGCATCTTGGTTTAGATGTCCTTGTCTCATAAAATATTTTGACAGGAAAAAAGTCAAAGTTCTGTTTAACGTTAAGAAATAAAGTTGGTATTTTGATCTGTGACTCAAATAGCTCAGGTCCCATTTGTAGCCAGCTGTCTGCAAGGTGATGTCTCTGGAAAGCCGGCTGTTCTGCTAAATGGTATATTTCATGTGGTCACAAACCTGTCAGCCCAATTGCCTATTTCTCTCTTTCTTGTAGGCTGTTGGCAATTAGGTCACTTTTCCCTCAGGCCTACCGTGCTTTGAAATTGTCGTAAATTCCAATTCTGACTCCCCAAGCCAAAAGTTCCACAAATAGTCCTTTACATGTAGTTAATTGTACAATGAGTTTCTGGGGGAAGAGTTCCTTTGTGTGTCCCCTTTAGAGAGGAACTATGCTGGTGACATTAACATTAGTGATTTGGGAGGTCATTTGACCCCATTAATATTCTGTAGATTTTTCATTGTTGGGAGTTCTAGTTTATATAACTTTGAACTTTGTACATATGAAAAGACTTTCATGATAGTTAGTGTAGGGAGAAAGTAGTGACTTCTTCTTAATAATATTTGAGGAGAAGCTTGATAGATGATTTCCAGGGATGTTCTCCAGAGGTTGAAGTGTTGGATGTAAATTTGTCCCAGATGACTTTTTAAAGTTCTCTTTCAATACTGAGATTTGGTGGGTGCTAAATAATAATAGTAATAAGAATAATAATACTTCATTCTTGTGTGATATTTGGAGATTTAAGAGTTAAAATATTTTACGTCTGCACATGAATAAGTTTTTGAAATACAGTTTGAATGTGCAGGACACAAATTGGGAAGAATGAATAACTTAGCACAGTGGTTCCTAAACGTGGGGGATGCGTCAAAGCCATTTGGGGCATTTGTTGACCATATAGATACTCAGCTCCTACCCTGTGCCCCAAAATCAAGTCTCCAGAGGTGAGGCTTAGCCATCTTTATTTTTAGATGATTCTGTTGTATTTCAAAGTTTGCGAACCACTACTTTAGGTTATAAGCTTTCTGCCACTTTTTCAGGGCTAGGTGTTTTGAGTATATTTGTTCATTTAATCCTCACAATAACCCTTCAAGATCATTATCAGTTTCCCATTTTATAGGTTAAGAAATGAGAATCAGAAAAGTTAAATATCTTGCCCCAGGTCACCCAGCAAGAAAGTGGTAGAGTAGGGATTTGAGCCCGGGTCTTTATAATTCTAAAATCTCTTTGTATACATGAAATATGTTCTAAAATGAAGACTTTAAATATTACACAGAGCCTGGATTGGGACAATTGTGAGTTGACCTGGGTTTCTTCCTACCCAAAACTTAGCATTCCAAGGGAGGGGAGGAGGATGGGGCAAAGAAGTGTTGACACTGACGAATGAAGATTCGGCTATTCCAGCTGTGCCTGGGTTGGCTCAGTCATCAAGTGCTGTCTGTGGGGAGGACGTGTGGGGATTCTAAGAAGAGAAACCTAAAACCTTCCATGGCTGCCTTCTCTGAGGCCCATGTGGTGGTTTATGCTTGATCGAACTGGCAGAGTGAGCACCTGGAATCTTCTAGACTCTAGTTTTCTCCAGCCTCAGTCCAGCAGCCCTAACCTTTACTTAAAATGAAGAACTGTCCTACAGTTATGAATTGTTCCCCAAGCAACCTCAGAGGGCAAAACCAGAAAAAGACACAGGTTTGGTTCAACCATTTTGTGAGCTGATTATATAAAGAAACATTGAGTTTATTTCTTGTTCATAAAGAGAAGGAAAACTAAAAGAAATTGTATGGGAGTTCAGTCAAGGAAATAGATTTTGCTAGGAAATAGATTTTGTTAGAGATGATTCAGTTGATCTACCAGAGACAAGAAATTAAAAAATCAGTGATTACGAAGCACTTTGTAACTAAATGTGGTGTGAAATAGAAGTAAAGTGTTAAACACAAATAACGTCAAGTTCATTGTTACAGCAAAAATGTTATGATAGTAGTCATGGTACTCCCTTGAGAAGAATAAAATTATATTTTATTTTTCAGGTTTCTTAAATTGTTGTTTTTGTTTTGTTTTAATATAAGTATAAATTGTCTTCCTAGAAATGTTGCGGCAGCTCCACCAGCAGCTGGTAGAGGCCGAGCGGAGGTCAATGACGTACATGAAACGGTATAATAAGATCCAGGCGGACTACCACAACCTCATTGGAGTCACGGCAGAGCTGGTGGATTCTCTGGAGGCCACAGTTAGCGGCAAGATGGTAAGGAAGATCCCCAATGGTCCATGTCTTTTCCAAGATAAAGATGGATCGTGGACTGTGTTGATACGATTCCTGCACCTCCGGCCGTGGCGCCCGCCCCTCGATTTCACAAAGCCAGTGTGCACACAGAGACCAAGTTGACGTCCCACGCTGTTTATCATGCTGCTTGTAGTATTTATCCATCTTTCCTGACACATTACCTACCGTGTCTTTATTTCTTTACCTTATTCTTTTTTTACATATATACTTTTTTCATTCCTTTACCAAAGATTTGTTGAATGCTTACCAGGTGCCAGGCCTGTCCTAGGCATTTGGGGTCCATGAGGCATCAACCAGTGAAACAGAGATTCCTGCCCTCATGTAGGGTACATCCCAGTCGGGAGAGAGATAATACATAGTAAACATAAACTTAGTAGGTAGGTAAATTATGTAGAGGGTTAGAAAACGACAAATGTTATGAGAAAAAAAAGTGAAGCGGGGTAAAGGGGATCGAAGTTTGTGGTGGAAGGGTGGGATTGGCATGTGTACATTTTAAATTTTTGTATTTTGCCAATTTGATTGGTGAGAAATAGTATCAGAATTTGAATATACATTACATTGATTACACATGAAACTGAACATTTTTATTAAGACATGAAAAGAAAAACATTTCAGATTACTACCTTAGATGTTGTATATCAATCCTGAATTATAGTAGCTAATGAGAGAGGTATGAGAGCCATAGAAAAGCGCCATAATACAGTAGCATTGATGGGAGTAATAATTCAGCCTCATGTTGTCAAGCAGTTGATAATTTATGAAAACGTCTCCATCATTCATTCAGTAAGCATTTACCAAGCCCCCTGCCGTGTGCTGGGCACATTGTGATCTCGCTTACCCGCTCACCATGACCCAGAGACCTAGACGCTATTCATTTCACTCAGCAGGTCAGGAAAGTAAGAGGCAGAGCCATTGGTGTTCTCGAGCCCACGGCGTGAGCCCAGATCTTCAGACTTGAAGCCCAGCATTCTTCGCACTACATTGTGGCCACCCAGTGACTTTATTTCTTGAATTAACAACACACACACAAAAAGGATTTAAGATCAGTTTATTTTACATGACAGCGGGAGTACATCAAGTGGAATTACATAATTTAAAGTGTGGCAGCCATGATCACACCTGTAGCATGTTAGTAGTTCTTTTCTTTCAGGCTCAATGCTTTAACTCCCGAGATCTCCTACGTTAAAATCTCCTTACAGAGAGCGCTAATCATTCCTCCGTACCATACAGAGAGCGCTGATCATTGCTCCGTGCAGTGCTGTACAGAGAGCGCTAAGCGTTGCTAGGGTGTGTCAGGAGTCTCTGGGTGAGATTCGTGCCTTTCACCAGCCGCCCTGCGTCCTCTTTGCAGATCACCCCGGAGTACCTGCAGAGTGTCTGTGTCCGCCTCTTCAGTAACCAGATGCGGCAGAGCCTGGCACACAGCGTGGACTTCACGAGGCCTGGGACGGTGAGGCTCTGTGCCCATGGTGTGCCCCCACCTCAGTTTAAAATAACGTAACTAAGAAAATGAAAGAGTAGGAGGAAATAACATTCAGGTGTCTACATTTGAGCTGGCTTTGGAGGTCTGTAAATTCCCAGAAGGAAAAGAAAGCTGTTTTTGAAGAGCTGCTGGAAGATGGCCTCCTGGGGGTGGTGGGGAGACGTGAGTTCTGCTTGTTGGGGGCCAAGGGCCAGTGCCAGTGGGCAAATCAGTAGGAAATGAATGAAACTTTATTATTATTATTTTTTAAATAACTGCCATATTGAAAGTCATATGGTCTAAGACAGGGGCTTTCTTTTTAACTTTTTACTTGGAAAAATTGCAAACACAGAAAAGTTGTAAAAATAGCACAAAGGACATTTGTATACCCTTTACCCACATTCATCAACCATTGGCAGTTTACCCATTTGTTTGTTTACTTTCTCTACACACACACACACACACACACACACACACACACACACACTCCTGTTTTCTGAACCATTTGAGGACAAATTAATCTACTATGGCCCTTTATTCCTAAATTCTTCAGTGCAGAGTGTGTTTCCTAACAGGAATATTGTCTTACATAGCCATATATTATCAACTTCAGTAAATTTAATATTGATACAATATTCTTATCTACTCGGTGCATTTGCCAGTTTTGTGAGTTGAGCCATTAACATTCTTTACAGCATTCTCCCCCAACCCTGGAAGTCTGGGGTCAGGTATTCCATTGAGTTGTCATGTCTCTTTAGCTTCCTTTACTCTTGAATGTCCCCGCAGTCTCTTTGTGACTTTAATGACGCTGCTATTGTGGGAGAATATAGTCTCTCCCGTCTTTTAAAAATAGAGCATCTCTTCTTTTGTGTTTGCTGTTTCTTCATGATTAGATTCAGGTTTGCATCCCAGGCCAAAATACTACACAGATGACATGTCTTGCTTAGGGCAGCTCATCTGGGGGCACTTGACGTTGAGTAGGGTTCTTCACCAGGGGCGTGGGTACACCAGTGTCTCTCGGGGAAGTTTTCACAGTTCGTGAGCCCATGTCCTGGAGCTCACACCACTGTTGGTCCAGAGGCTGAGTGATCTGAGGCACCCCCAGGGGTCAGAGCCAGGCCTTTTAATTCAGGGTTTGCACATTAATATTAGGGTCTTCATAAACAGAGGCATTTTTTAGTATTAAAAATATATATTTATACCCTACCTCATTCTCAAGTAGGTTTGAAGCAGCTTATTATGACAACATGAGAAAACACAAATATGAGAAGTGAAAAAATAGAAAATAAAAATAAAGAAATTGTGATTCGAACTCATAGAAACAGAAAGTATATTGGTGGTTTCCATGGGCTTGGGGTGGGAGGAAGGGGGAGATGTTGGTCAAAGGCTACAAACTTCTGGTTATAAGATGGATCAGTTCTAGGGATCTAATGGACACCATGGTGAATATAGTTAACAATGCTGTATTGTATTTTTTAAAGTTGCTAAGGGAGTAGGTCTTAAGTATTCTCACCACAAAAAAATAAAAGGTAATTAGGTGAGGTGATGGATATGTTAACCCACCTTATTGTGGTAACCATGTCGCAATACATGCATGCATCAAATGCCACTGTACACCTGAAACTTACACAGTGTTATATGTCAACATCTCAGTAACACTGGTGAAAAAAATAAATTGTGGTTAGAGGAAAATAAGTTCAGGAATAATAAACATAAGCCAGGGCTAAGGTTAGTACCCAAACACATGTCCTAAGTTGCTGTACACCTGAAGAGGCGGGCACAGATTTGGCTCTGAGCCTTCCAGCAGAGCGGTTATGTGATTTACTTACAGAGGAAGAGAGAATGGTCATATAATGTTTATTATGTGATATTTGCTGCATCTATGTATTTTGCTGCACACGCAACCTAGAAAGCACAACAGTAAAATGAACGCCCACGAGCCCCCCACACGTCCATAAAATAGACCTTTTCAATGTCACTGAAGTTCCCTCTGTGCCCTTTAGACCGTGAACTTTTTCCAAGTAGATATATTACTATCAGAATTTTAAAAACAAGTTTAAGCACATTTTTTAAAGAAGATTAGGAGGTCAGACAGCTGCCTCACATGGTTATTCTGGTGCTAAGACCTGAGGGTGCTTTCTCTCATGCGTCTTCATAGACGGCACATAGGATGATGGTGAAGAGCAAATGTCCTTGGCCATATGCTCGATCGAGGTGCACACAGAAGCAGCGCAGAGCTGTTGGTTGTGTGGGCTGCGCCTCACATGGGCACTTGGATGCTGCAGGGTGTGTGCTTCTATGGCCATAGTGCTTTTAGCATGCAAAAATCTTAGAGAATCGGCCATTTTTAAATTGTCAGCAAAGTACACAGAGGCATCTGGGTCTCAGAAAAGTAACCTCCTCATGGGCCCTCCAGGATGAGGGGCTGAGTGGACTCCATGCGCACTTTACAGTTAACTGTAAGTCAGTTGAGGAGCAGAATGTGTTCATCCAAAAGGATGGCTTTTTAGGAGTAAGGAGCATAGCAGGGTCTGTGTGTACTAGGACCACTGCTTTCTTCCCTCCCTCCCACTTATTTATTAAAGTCAGCAAATATTTAGTGTATTCCAGGTGTGTGTGACAAAATCCCATCGGATCTTGCATGTACAAGAATGCCTATATTTCCATTTTCTGTTGGTGAAGTGATGCATCCAGCTTATTTAAAACTGATAATCATGTTTATAAGAGCGGTTTGAAAGGGGGAGGGGGCACAACACATCTGATACTTTATGCCATTAGAGGTTCCCGTCATTTGTCACAAGACTAGTCCTGCCATCTTTCCCCGGTAAGGTGCCATTAAGGTTCAGATTCTAAGCCCTAGAAACCAGGGGAGAGAGCACCAGCTCTGTTTACCTAAGCTCATAACCGTTTTCTTTTCACTGCGTCATCAGCTTAGGAACAGGCAATAAAAGCTGCAAATAGTCTTTTATTGTTCCTAGGAGATTTTTCTACACAATGATAAAAAGCAGATATGGGGTCATTGTAAAAGTGTAAAAATATTGTAGTTGATTAGGCCTGGCTAAAATCAATGTATGATATCAGATTTACAATGTATGAAGAGGAAGTTAGGAAACAGTTTAGATGGGAAGTCTAGTGACTGAACTGAGAGCATTTAAGGTTTGGAAGGAGAAGAAGGTTACTTTTTTTTTTTTTGAAGGGAATAAATTCTATGTTAGGTCCAAATGGAATACCATTAATTTCAAGGTAAATAGGCAGACACAGGCCAGCCTCCTTTTTAGTGTGGTCTTAATCACCGTCCCCTTGGGTGCTCTGTTGACCTTGAGTTCCAGTTCTTTGTACTCTGAACAGGGACTTGACTGGGACCAATCAGACACCTGCTAGTATCTATAAAGTGTGGTACTTCGATATTGGCTTTTAAACCTGACTGTTAACAATTTGGCCTTCTGCAACCTCATTCCTTATTGAAAGTTCAAAAGGGCTCAGTAAGTAGCACCCTTCTTTCCCCGCTGAGTTCTAAACCAATTGAAAAATAGGACAAAAGAATAAAAGGAAAAGTAGCTGAAAATATCCCTGTTGATACTGACAAAGCATATATTGGAGAATATGGGTTTTATATATAGGCAGGTGGGTTTCCTATTTCTTTTTAATTGAAAAAAAATCACAAAATTTTATTCAAGGGTCTTAGGATTTGCAAATCAAAAACATAGCTAAGAAATACCCAGAGTGTTCCAAAAGAGAAAGAAAAGTCAAGAGTTTTAATAGTAAAAAGCGCATGTTTGGCAAAAGTCAGTCCTGCGATCTTAGCCCAGGGATTGGCTCAGGATGGTAATCTTCCAGTTAGATGTCCAGTGGTCTGAATAATGAAACGTTCTTTCTTTCTTTCTTTTTTTTTTTTAAGATTTTATTGGGGAATTGGGGGAGGGGAACAGCGTTGGGGAATCGGGAAAGGGGAACAGACAAGTTGCTGTCCTTTTGTTCTTCAGTCTAGTTGTGGAGGACGTCACTTGACTGGCCCATGTTGGTATTGTGATCATTGCACTCTTCCCAGGTGAGGCAGTCACTCGCCGGCCATTGGACGGCCGCTCATGGTGGCTCACGGCAGCTCTCTCTGGCTGCCGGCCACTCACAGTAGCTCACGGCAGCCCACTGCAGCCCCACTGCAGCCTATGCCATGCCGGCTCATGGCAGCCCAGCTCCAGGTCGAGCTGTTGTTCACCATCTTAGCTGTAGAGGGCGCAGCTTACTGGCACATGTGGGAATCGAAGCGGCAGCCCTGTTGTTCAGAGCTTGCACTCTTACCAACTGAGCCACTCTGCCGGCCCCGAAACATTCTTTTTTAAGCAGGCGACTGTTTATCTGTGAGAGATACATATATCTCCAGCACATGAGCATTCTTTTCTAAGTCCTTCAGAGGTTTATCTATAGAATTTAGGTACACCCAGACACTGATGGTTTCCTACTTTTGAACCCAGCCAGTCATGGACAGCTCTGGCCAAGCCCCTTACCACCACTGCCACCGGGAGCAGGACTGACCTGTGCTCTCTGGGCAGGCTCATTGCCCGGAATAAGGGGTGGGGGTAAAGATTACACTGGTGGAGGCCCATAAAGGAAACGCCATAAGTGAGAAGAAATGTGTTCCCATCCTATCTAGTTCATGTCCAAAAACCTCTCATTATCAGAGCTGGCAGTCAAATCCAAGTGCTCTCAGAAGGATTGATAATGACAGGATTAATTTTTTTAAGAAGAGATCTCTCTCAGGTGGCCTCTTGCAGTTTGACGGTCTGTCACCACCCTAATCTCAGGTTTATTATTCCATAGTCCTTACCAAATCAGCTTGGATCTGAGATAAATCTGCTGCTGTAATATCAGGAATCTGGTGATAAGGAGTAAGAGAAGCTTCCTCCTCAGGGCACAAGAGGTAGAGTTTTTTATTTTCTAAGATTACATGTTCACTGGGAAATATATAACAATTTAGTAGTAAGTGGAGC